GATCTTAGAGGCCTGGTACAGACCTTGCTCATACGCCTTGTCACCAGACTCCTCGATGTTGGCAACGTTGGTACCGCGAAGGAAGTCCTCGAGCTCGCCGAGCTCATCCAGACGAGCGTAGCAGAAGGCGAGGGCAGTGTCGATGGCAGGCTCGCGCAGCGTCTTTCTGGCCATGCGGAGGTACTTGATAAGATCCTGGTCCTTGCCGGCGCGGGCAGCGGTCTCGATAACCTCCTCGTAGTTCTTGGGGTCATCGGCCTTGATGTAGGACTCGATAGAGTCAGTGACGCGCAGGCCATCAAGCTGAGCCTTGGCGACCTTGCTCCAAACCTCGGGCAAATCGACCTCCTCGGCGTAAGCTTGGGCACGGTCGATGCTAACGACGTTCTCTACCAAGACATCAACAGCGGAAGTCTTGTCACCAGTCTTCTTAAAGATCTCGAAGGCCTCCTCGTGGAGACCAACGTCGATACAGGCTGATGCAATGTCCGGCGCGCTGAAGTTGTCCATACGGTGGATGTAGTCCATAACTTTACCCTTGTCGGCCTTGGCAGCGGTGAACAGAAGCAAGTTCTGAAGGTTGGTGTTGTCACTGAAAGGTGACGGCTCGAGAACAATCTTCTCAAGCAGCTCAATGAGCTCAAGAGGAAGATCGCAGGCAAGGAAGGCGGCAACAGCCTCGGAGACCTTGGAGGGATCGGTGGACTCGGGAACCGCGGTGGCGGTCACTTGGTCAATCACGGAACGGCGATGAATGTTGTTCTCGCTGAGGACGAAGGTCCACAGCTCGCGGTCAGCCCGCTCGAGCAGGTATCGAGCTTGGTTGCGGTACATGCCGTTCTCGTTGGTAATGTTGACGAGCTCAAGGTCGTTCTGACCCTTGGAGTAGGCGATGAAGGCTAGGTTGGGGTCACGCTTCTCACAGTATTTACCGACGCTGAGGGTGTCATACTGGTCGTTCTCCTTGAGGAACTTCTCAGGGTTGTTGTTCGAGTCAATATAGATCTTGGCAAGAGCATTGAACACGGCCTGCTGCTGGTTGCCGGCAGCAAGAGTAGCCTCGAGGAAGGGGAGAAGAAGCTTGAGACGGTTGCGAGACTCAACCTCGGACACGAGCTCATCGATGGGGATAGAGGCGGGGTTGACGGTCGACAGCAAGTTCTTGATGATGCTCTCATCGCAGTCAACATCCAACAGACCACCGATGACGGCGGGAGTCCGACTGGGGTTGACACGCTGGACGTAAGTCTCGATGGACTGGAACTGCTGCTGCTGGTACAGGTAGAGAACCAAGTCGTGGACGAAGTTGAATCTGTCGCAGACGATGATAAGAGGCAGCTGCTCCTGAAGTCTGGCTTCCTTGAGGAAGTTCTTGACCTTCTCGGCGTTGTAGTAGTTGCTGTCTCTGCAGATACGCTCAACCTCGTTGAACTGGCCCATCTTGGTAGCAGACTCAATGTACTTGAAGTGAACATCGGGGTCCTCTGAAAGGTTGACAATGCTGCCAAGGTAGTAGAAGAGACCCTCAGCAGTCTTGTACTTCTCGAAGAGATCAATCAGGCGCACGGGACCCAGCAAGTCGGAGTACTTAGTGGCGATCTGGACCACTGCTTGCAGGTTCTGGCGGATGTTGTGCTTGATCATGGCATCCAAGCAGTCCAGAGATTGCTCAACGGACAGCTTGCCAAAGAAGCCGGTCAACCAGTCGATGTTGAAGTTGGGGGTGGCGGCAATGTTGATAACGACACGCTTGACGGCAGCGGGGTCCTCGTAGAGCTCCAATGCCTTTTGGGCCAAACCGGCCTGTTCACAAAGTGTCGCGATGCGAGTCTTATCAAAGTGAGAGAACATGTCATTTCCAAGGATAGCATCGGCAACCTGGGGAGCATTCATCAAGTTCATCTCCAAGAGACGAGTCTGAAGGTGACCCTGGTCAGGTCTGTTATCCTTGAGCGCATCCAGCAAGAAAGCCGTAGCTTGCTGGATCATGCCCTGAGACTGGAAGATGTCGACGACTCTCTCGATATCGACTAGGGAACCGCCCTCGTTGTTAGCCAAGGCTGTGGCGAACTCTGCACCCTTCTCCGGGTTGACACGAACGATGTGCTGGAGGAGTTGGACGTAGTCGGGTTGGTAGTTGGCCTGGGTGGCATAGGGCAGGATCTTCTCGAATTGACCCGTCTCGGCAAAGCCAGCAACAACCTTGTGAGGGATGTTGGCCTTGAGATAAAGAGTGAGGGCCATGTTCAGGTCGTGAGGGCGGACAAGGTCACCGAGTCTCTCGGACGCAGTCAACTTGCCCTCCTTTTGCCATTTCTCCAACAGGTTGAGACGGTTTTGAGCGAGAACGGGCTGTGCAAGCTCAATAGACTCGTGCTCGTTCAGGGCTCCCTTGTCGAGCAAGAGGCCAAAGTATTGCAGGACAAAGGACATTTGACCAGGTTGCTGAGGGAGCGACTTGAATCTCTCGATCGTCTCGGCGGTTCGAAGGAATTGTCGGGGAGAGTTGGCCGCGATCTTGGCAGCATCCATGAACTGACCGCTGTTGAAGAGCTGCTCGAATTGACGAGCATACAGATTATCAGCACCGGGGAGGCCAGCTCGTGATGCCATCTTGATAGCCATATCGGTGTTGGCCGGGTTCTGAAGGAGGTAGGGGATAACGTTGGCGTCGTCGATCGAAACGAAGAGCACTTGACCCTTGCGGTTGATGCCCACAATACCGCGAGACTCATTGTCGGGGCAGGTGGTGAAAATGGTATCGCTGGAAATTCGGTTCATGAAGATGCAGGCGGCGGTCTCGAGGTCGTAGACGTGGATGAATCCGTACTTGGTGACCATGAAAATGACACCGTACTTCTGCGACACCTGCATAGCCACGGGGAAATCGCTGACGGCTTCGGGAGGGAAGAAGATGTCGACGGCCTTCTTCTGGAATACGGGGTTTGACTCGGCGTGGTCGACCTCGACGATGTGAAGCTTCGCGCCAGTAGCGGTTCTCACAGCAAACGTGAAGAGCTTGGTGTCAGCAGGAGCACCCTCCAGGCGCAGCGAGCCGAAGGCCGCAGCGTGACCCTCAATGGCCTGGCTAATGCCACGGTCCTTGGAGTACAGCTGCATAGCGCCAACGACGCGGCCCTGCTGTTGCGAGATACCAACAACCACCATCCACTTGCCCTCGGCGTTGGTTCGGTAGTTGATGATTTGGCAACCCTGGTTGATAGTATTTAGTAGACAGTTCGGTGACATGCGGAGGATACAGGAAGCATTGCACTCACGTTGAGGTTAGCATTGCGCTTGAAGACCTCGACAGGCTGGGCCTGACTGGGGTCGTAGACGTCCCAATGGTAGACTGCTGAATCTGTAACCAGGCCCAAAGTGGTCTCGCTGATCCACTTCCAGTACTGGACGTCCTCGTTCATTGTGGTAGACTTGAGTTTCGCCTTCTTCTCAAGATCGAAGATCTGCAGTGTTCTCGATTGCGCCTTGAGGGCGATGACTTGACGAGTCCAGTGCATGATGGCACTGTCGGCCTTGATGGGGCGCCGTGTGACATTGTTGCCGTTCTTGAGATCGACGATGACAACTTCGGGTTGGGCAGCTTCGTTCTTCTTTTCCCGAATACAGACATAAGAGTCTGACTCGAGTGTCTGGAAGAGAACAAGTCAGTCATGATGATGCCATTGAGCAGGGAGATGGTCGGGCGGTGATGGCTCACGCAGGAGTTGAAGCCGATGGAAGCGTCCTCGACACCGGCAGTCTGAAGCTGGATCAGCTCCTGGAACTTGATCGGTAGTGGCGCCATGACTGGCGTTATGTGTGACAAGAAGCTTCCAGAGACCAAGTTGCGCTCCTTAGCTGGGTGGTGTCAGGTCGCGGATTCGAATCGCGCAGCTGATCGGGTGTCGCGGGATTTCGTGGATACGGCGACGTGGATGTCGTGTATTTGGGAGAGATAGGAGTAGGAGCTGGGGATAGCTTCCTTGCGACCCGACTGAATGCGTACAAGGCAATTAATACAGGGAAACAAAGAGCGGTAAAGAGGAGACGTAAAGACGGGGTAACGATGCACCTCGCAGTGATGACAATCTGCTGGGCAAACGGTGATGGTGGTGTTTTGTTTGGGGCGGCGGTGGTGGTGGTGGTGGGAGGAATGGGAATGGGAAAGATGGGTACGGGATACGTAGTTCGCTTGTGGTGAGGTGGAAGGTTGGAGATTATTTTAGGTGCAGTACCTTACGTTGCCTGTTCGGTTCGTTCCTGCCAGTCCAGTGCCAGGTTGTTGCGCACTGAGCCAGGTGCGCGACGCCTAAAGTCTGTGGTTTGCTGCCAGCTTTCCACCCTCACTGCTTGCCTTGCTGGCCAGGCGTGCCAGGCTTGCTTGCTCCTGCCGGTCTTTGCTGTCTTCAGCCAAGTATCCACCCATCTGGACCGTGCACTTGTCTCTTCAACCTTCACTGGCTGGATGGCCATGGGCCTGTCACGTGGCTATCTTGCTATGGTGTCCGTTTCCAGGTTCCTGACCGGAGGCATGTTTGACCGGATGCGGGATGACATAAGCGACTAATCACCTCCCGTGTCCGGCGACCGACCAGCCTACCTTAGCCCGGGAGCCTTTTTTGGGTCCCGGATCATGAACACATACGCAGTATGGCAAGGTAATGAGTACTGATGTACTAGGCACACAAGGCAAGGGAGTGTGAGAAGTCTGTAGATGTGGTGTTCAGAGTCATGTCACCTACTTCACTGAAAATTACTTGCCCAGATTTCAATCATCTTGCAAGAATTCTGTCACATTCGCAAACTCAACGCAATTCACCATCCGCCCTTTCTTTGCGGAACATCTCGACTCCAGGCTCAATTGATGACTCGTATCTCAAATTGCCATGCCAACTACAAATTTGTCGGCATCTTTATGAATGAACGGTACTTCACAGCAAAATCATGTGCCCGAAACATAGAGCAAACCGAGGTTGGTCAGGACCGTCACTAGACCGGGGTCAGCCACTTCGCGAAAGTTCCGTCGTAGTAAAGCGTTGAGCCTTCACTTTGCCTCCAGCAGGTACGAGGGGATCACTGTAGCGGTAGGTGACAAAGCTCCAAGTGACAGGTGGGAGTGGGCTGCCTGGGATTAGTAGAGTAACAGGATGGCGGGATGCATCTAGTCGATGGTGCTATTAGTGCCTGGTAGATCTTTGAGAATAACGAACTCAACTCACCTGCGATAACCGAGCTAAACTTCGTTTTATTCTCAAGCGTCTGGATCATGTACCACCTAACATCGGCTTTGAAACGTACGCTCTGGCCTGTAAGGCCAAGGCAATGTTTGACGATAATCGACCATTCCTCCGGGTCATCACCATCCCATATGGTGTCAAATTTGGCGGAGCCTGGGCAAAGGTCCACAGGCTCGACTGGGCTGATGTCCGAGTGACGCAACCAAGCTTGACCATTGCCTGCGCAAACATCTGTCTGAACCCCCAAAGGGCGCAAAGTTTACGCCGGGCAAGGAGTTTGTACAGGCTAGTAATGTGCCTTTCGAGCAGCGCTGTTCGGTCCTCTAGCAGCAACTGTCGCAAGTGAAGAGATACTGCGCAGCGGAAACGCTTGATACAGCGAAGACCGAGCTTAAATGACAATTCGCCGGCGTAGATGAGTTCGGTAGTCATGTCGGACGCCGACCGAACACTGGCATGCGGATGTTTAGGGAAGGTTCCCGTCACGAGTAAGCTCATGATGAGGCCAGAGGCATCAGCATCTTCACTTAGAAACTCGTACTCGCGAGGCAGCGGCTGTTCCTTCTTCCAAGGGTCTCGTCCTAGGCTAAAAATGGGAAAGTTACGAAAATTCTGTGCAACGATGGGTTCCGGAATAGAAAAGCGAATCCTCTCCGTAGCTGACGTGAAGTAGATTGTGAGGTGCTCGGCATTATGCGGAAACCAAGATCTTAAGAAACATCAGTTGACACGCGACTAAGGTATTCCGTAGATATGATCGACTTGCAGTAGCCATGAGAGGTGATCAACGTATGTGTTCTCCATATGACTGGGAGACGTCTACGAAGCGAGTCAGACGCGATTTCGATATGGAAACTAGCGGGAGAGACTTACCTTGACGTCAAAAGAAGCTCCGCTGAGCTTCAAAGCCCCTGTATCCGGGCCAACTCTCTCGTACGCGCCGAAGGCCCAGCCGTAGGTCGTCGGGTTTTCAGGTTCTATATCCATATCGTTGATGGTGTTGCTCAATTCACAGGATTGAGGCATGACTGATGTGATGTCTACAGAATCATCGAAAGGCACGAGGGAAAGATGGAAAAACCATAGTGGGATTCATCTTGGGATCTTGGTGATGCTGACATATTCAAAGCTCGGGAGATGTGCATGGGTAGACGGGGTAGAGAAAACGGGGGTTTGGAAGAAGCTAGAAGAGAGGTTTCGGCGGAAGCAAAGTGTGATTCGGGAGAAATGTCTTATATGATGGTGAACTCATTTTACTGGAGGGTTTCGTACCCAATCCTCTATCTGGCAAGTGCATATAAGGACTTTCTTACAATATTCGAGACAAGCTGCCTGGTCATGAAACCTGGGATCTGCGTACCACAAGGCAGCGGCCCGTTTGGATAAATGTCGCGCGTATTCAACGCAGGGCAGCTGCGAACAAAGGTAAGATGGGATGAACGTCCTCTTACGTGGATGCTGCATGTTGCATTCTCAAAGTGCATTGGCATATTCCACTTGACTCTGGAAACGCCGCCAGCGATGTGCGACAATGCGCCAATGCCGAGCCCAGGGGTTGGGTCCGTTTACATGAGCAACCTCCAGGCACCAAGAAGCAGAGCGGCGAAACCGGTACACACTCCCATCAGCCACTGCAGCGTCTGGAACTTGACCTGCTCAAGCTTCTCGCGCAGCGCCGCCACCTCCTGCTCAATCTTTGTTTCCGTCTCCTTGATCTTGAGCTCCTGGCCGACAGCCTCCTCGCGGATGCGACCCTTCTCCAGGTTGAGGTCCAGGCGGACACTGGCCTGCGTCCTGCCGATCTCGTCGCGCAGCCGGGAGCTCAGCTTCGCAATGTCGTTGCCGAGCTTCTCGTGGGACGCGCGCGTCGTGCTCGACTCGGTGCTATCGGCGGACAGGAGTTCGGAGCGTAGCTTGGCAAAGTCGACCTTTTGGGTGTAGGTTGCCTTGGCGGCGTCTTCGCGGAGGACCATGGTTCGGGTGAGGTTCTGTATGCTGCTCTGCTATTAGAAGGGATGAATATTCTAAATAAGGGCGCTGTCGCATGCCTTTCTTGTATTACATCGTTCAGGACCTTCATCGTGGCCTCGGCCTGCACCTCCGTGAAGCCCTCGCTCTTCATCCGCTGGACGAACTTCAAGGTATCAAAGTGGTGGTCTCTTTGCCTCGAAGGAGTCGCATGGAAGGACCTCGTGAGGCCCGGGCTCGCCAGTATCGAGGCGCGCTCGGTCTTGAAGCCATTGCTGCGGCATCTGGATGGTAAATTCGAATCGTGGAAAGCACTGGTTCGGGTGTGCATCCGACGGCGCGAGCTCGGAGGGAGTGCCGAAACAGGCCGTAGGGCTTGGGATGCTGTCGCAGGACCAGTCCAGCTGAGTCTAGGAAGCAGGAACCTCGGAAGGGCGTCTACGGCCATTGCTGTCGGTTTGGCCATCTTGTGTGTATGTGTGATTTTGTTGTATTGGTGTTTGGAGAAGCAATCTCCAATTCCCAATCCCAGGGGAGATTATCTTGGTGCTAGCAGCACGGGCGGGAGATTGGGAATGACTAGCACCCAGTGACGGCATGTCGTTGCAGCTGACCCACTGGGGAGCGCAGCTTGCCGAAGACCGGCCGCGGGTGTCAAACACTTGGAAGGCAGGGGGGCACCGCAAAGGAAGGACCCTTCTTTCCTTTCATTCCCAGTCTTCCTCGTGCCCGCCCATTTGGGTCGTCCAGTCGGGTTGAGTTGATTGGCTGCCTGAGGCACGGACCCTGCCAAAAAATTCTCGCGGCGCACTACAAAACGCGGCCTACGCAGCGCATCTTTGCTCTGTTTTCCTCCTTTCTTCTTCATTATTGAACAACGCAAAATAAAACATTCATGTTCTCGTGAAAACAAATGTCTGTTGAGAGGTTCGCTCTTCTGCTGGACCCAGGACCATCGGACACGGAGATCGAAATGGAGAAGGAAGCGAACAATCTTGGGTGCGGTGCCCCTCGGCCTACGGGCACGTGAGGGGGACCGCAATGATTGAGCGTACATACATTCGCCCATCGTAAATACTCGATGGTCACCCTTGATGAGTAGAATTGCCTGCCTTGTTGTATGGCCCATGTGAAATGCACCGGCTTATCAGGTTTTTCAGATCCTGGAATCTTGTCACATTAAATGCTGGGACAGCTCAAGCTCTGGCTCTGCTGTCGTCCGAGTGCTCAACGCAAGATATAGCATCCGCTCTTTCTTGACTCGAGTGTTGATCTTGTCGCAGAGGCTGCTCGAACCCATCTCTATGATACTCGGTATGGGCTCGCAAAACATCATGGAGATGCTGGACAATCCGCACTAGCCAGCCGGCACTTTACGTTGCTAGCAGACAAGATATGATGCCCATTCTCGGGAATCCATTGTTCCTTCACCGAGACGAGCGTCTCGATCATGTAGGTACCGACTGTCTACCCCTTGTCATCTCGCGGAGACGGGGAGCGTACAACTTGAGGCCCGACCACTACCAAACATATGCAAAAGGCGTCGAGAGGTCCTTTCCTCCATCGCTTATACAGTTTTGAAACAAAAGACGATATCCTGAGTCTCATCGGCGGCAAGTAGCCTGTTACGAGAAGAGGAAACAATGGGAGTCTATATTCGTTTTCGTGTTCAGGTTATTGTCGTTTTTGTCCACCTCTTGCTTTGTCGACATCGCCTTGGATGCCGGCTCGATGGCAAAGATTTGAAAAACTTGCATGCGAGGGAAGAAAATTGGCTTCATCAAAGTTGATGTGAAGATTCGGCAGTAGTTGCTGTGGAAATCTGGTCGGTCAGACGTCTCGTATCAACGAGATAGCGAATCTCAAGTATATATACCTCTAGGCAACGGCCACGAGCAGGTCGCGAGTAGCAGTCTTCGTGGCCTTCAGACCGCGAGAAGCCTTCAATGCGCTGGATCAGCCGAGCGCGTTCAGCAGGCCTGCTTGTGGCCGGTGCAAAATGCCTCGGCCTCAACATCGCCCTTCCAGCACGGCTGCTGATGATCTTCCTATCGCGCTAAACCCCCTCAGCCTCCGTGGCACGGCGCGAAACGGTCTCGGCTGCGACGTGGGCGAGCTCGTTGAGCACGCGCTCGGCCCGGAACGCGGAGCCGCCCCAGGGCGTAGTGGGCGTGGGAGGCGAGGGCCTATGGTGAGGTTGATAGCGAGGTCGTCCTTTGCGAGGGCGAGGGCGTTGGCGGTGATGGTCAGCATGGCGAAGAGTGAGAGGTCCTCCATGAAGGACAGCACGGAGACCTTGTGGGGAGCGCGTCGGCAGATGTTTGAGAGAGGTGGTTCGATGGAGAGGTCATCGGGCTCTAATCGGTTGAGTTTCAGACTCGTTGCGATTCCCATGTCTGTTGATTGTGTGCTCGCTTGGATGTGAACTGCAATGAATGGGAGGAAAGCAATAGAGCTAGATCTAATTATTGTACTTTGAGGTGAGCATTCACAACTTGGCTTCATAGTCAGAGTCTTTGGATCCCGGTGTCTTCGCCATAATCAAAGGTCTTCATCGAGAGATACTTTCGTGGGTTCACAATCTTTGGTGTTGATGAGTTCTGTTCTGGACTTTGGCAGCAAGCTAAACTCGGCAGACGCCCTTACAAATACCAGTGAGGTTTCTTGGTTCTCTCGAACAGAACACAAGAGACTTGCTAATCTTTTTCTCCCTTTTCCATGGGGATACAGACGGCAGTGAAAAGTAGTTCGAGGACATAACCATTGGGAAATCCAGCATAACATTGGACCGAGTACGATAGAGTTCGGAATCCGAGGTGACAGAGAGTCGAGTGACTCAAATCCCAACCATGCAGCGAAACCTCAAGTCTTTCTTTGGCGACAGTAGAAGGCTCTGGTCACAGGTAATAGATCATGGAGGATGTTAGGTCGTGGTTTGGAAGCGACAAGGTTTGTGCTAGGTCGGCCATTGTTATACCGGCTGTTGCGCTCATGAACTTCCTCAACAAGGGCACAGCGGGGAGCAAGGTTTGGGTAAGACGTGTGCATCTAGACATTGCTTCAATAGAATAGTTGCGTCTTGATTACATCGGCAGGTAAACGCTTTCCGAAAGACAGTGTAACGACGCAGTCGATGTAGGGATTGGGCGTTGGTAAGGTCAAATGTACCAAAGCAGTAAGGGGACCCATCACTTGGTGACGAAGGATAGAGACAGGTAATAAAGCAGGGACTGTAGAGTAGGCGATGGGACTCTCATGTTACACATCTACGTTCGACGAAGAGCCAAGCTTATCATCGAGACGAGTCCATGAAATTGCGACTCTTCATTGCTTGGAACTGAAGGGATTCGAGAATCATTTCAACATCTGTTCCACTAAAACTAGATCCTCTTTATCTTCTCAAGCTTCAAGGTGAAGTCTAGGAATAGCACACTCCAATATAGACGAGAACTCTTCCAAGCTCTCGAGAAGATTTGCCTGGGGTTTTGAAGAGTCACCGTCAACGTCCGAAACCCTTGCTTCCCCGCGTTATCCATCTGTCCCACCAACACCCTGGGCCCCTGCCTAGCGGCGCGCGTCCGCCGTCAAGGGGTTCACTGGGGACGAATTATGCTAGGTCCAGATAACGGCTCAGAACATCCATCCATCGACGCAAACCTTTAAACCGTTCAAGATCGGGGCAGCACCCTTGGCCAGTCTTTGGCAAAAACCGCAGAAGATATGTAGGAATCAGTGTTTGAACAATAGTTACCAGATACTCGTTGTGTTGACTCAAGGGAATCATGCCTGGAACGATCCGGGCTCCATTCGTATCTCTTGGTACATACCCTTCTTAACGCGATGCGAGGCTATATTGTTCTTGAGGCTCAAGAAGGGGGCCCTAGGGTCTGTTTCCTGATGGCGCCCCAAGTATGTATGGCCTTTGGGCGGGAGCACGCGGGAGGTTGCTTACCTGTTTACCTGCTTCGGTGCTTCGATGTGTTCATCTAATGTCAGGTAATGGGAAAACAGCCACGACGATAAAGGCAGACTTGGGAGAGTAATGAGACCTTAACATATATCTTGATCGCTTGCTCATTGAATTCCACACTCCTTGTTCTCGGGTCCGCGTCCAGCCCAGAGTCGTGTCCCAGTCTACGAGTTCCAAAGAACACAGACGATGGAACTTGAAAGCCACTCAAGTCGCGGACATATGAATGAGCCTGAAGGCCCATTCACAGCCAGCAATGACGCTAGCCTTCTCATTTAGGTCGCTTGGAAGGACAGAATGTTGTATACTATGCTGCAACGTGATGAGCGGTGAAACACTAGGCTGGGAGACGACTCCATGTGTGATGAACACAGATACTATTTAGGTAACTCTTGCGTCTCTCAAGAGAGCGCGCATAAATCCACTGGTTTTGCTTGTTGATGGGTAATCTGAATCGCTATGGAAGGCGAGGCATGAGCTTCCAGGCCCTGAAAGCCTGTGGCTTTCACATCGTCGCCGGCGAGTATGAAGCATTGTCATTTGGGAAACCGCGTCAACTCGTGAAGGCTGCGCCGTGATGAGCTCAAAAGAACTTGTGGCAGTTTGCCAGTGAACAGGGAAAACGACCCGGTGGTGTCTCAGTCTTAAATCGACTTCGGGGGTGTAAGCACTTTTGATATGGGAAATATTTGGCTGGAGGGGATAAAAGGCGCGTCGCGCTTGGCTGAATGAATACTGAGCACTAAGTACTGGGTAGATGATGGCGTTGATTTCAGGGGAGGGTGTCCGAGAACATGACGATGTCAGACCTAAGCTGTCTAAGGTAAGTTGGATTGAGATTTAGCGCGGTCAATTGCTCGGAAGCTAAATTTGGAGTCAAGGTAGATTGAGATTGCCTGTGGGATGGGGAGTTAGTGAGATTGTGAGCACACCGCCAGTTCTGAGATCTCCAACTCCTCCAAATTGGCAGGTCCAAGAAGGAGGCTCCAAGGTGCGGGCAGTCAACCTAAGCATGTTGGAAGGCAAGGTAGACCCCAGACGGCAGGAGGTTCGGCTCCGGAAATTTACACAAAAGAAAAGTGGCACAATTGCAGACTCGAATTTGAGGCTTTTTTGCTTTACTACCTACCGTGGTTGACCGGCCTGTCGTTGTCCAAGGTAGGCCGGATTCGAGCAGGACAAAAAAAAGGGCAGTCCCGAGCGTCGCACTACTTTTGTCGTGAGACGAGCCTCATTGCTAGTCCATGTCAACTAAGGGACAAGGAGCTTGCGCTAACATCAAGTCGGTCAATTGGTTTTGCTACCTAATGGGTGGTGGAGGCGACTGAGGCGAGCTATGTTATGATGTATGGGTGCTCGAAATGGGGGCGAATTCGAATTGCAGGATGAGATCATCAACTGTGGTGTCGCTAAGTACAGGAGCAAAGTAGGTGTAGGTATCACGGTGCATGACCTCACCTCAAGCGGGCGGCGGCAGCGGCAGGTATTTCAATAACCGCCAAGTGCGACGGTTACACTACGATAAGACTACGGAGTGCACTGACCTGAGTCAAGTTCCCCAGATTAAGTTCCGAATCCGCCATGTCTTGCTCTCTGGTTCGGGGGTCTCAAAGGAATCTCAATGTTTACTTACCCCAAGTTCTGAGGTTTGGACAATAAATACCTATCCACTGAGGACAACTAACTGTACGTGGCCGTGCCGGATGGATCTCCAAGGCTTCACCAACATGACGACACCTCATGCATGGATATCGGGATGATGAACGTGGGGAGGCAAAGAAGGGGATAAGTATTCGTACTGCGTGTGTTAGGATCTTGTTACTGTAAGGATGATGAGATGCTTCTTGCTGCTTGCACGTGTGTGGCCAACGGTCAAGCGCCGATCATGAACCGGTCAGGCGGTGAGGTGCATGCGTTTTGGTGGGGCGGTGTCGCGGGCCGCCAATGCCGTTATTTCTTGCCCGCTGTGCTTGCTGCAGTTGCTGCTGCTAAGGCAAGTCACTACTGCCCTCCACCTGCCTGCGTTACTGCGTATTATGTAGAGGACGGGAATTGCTTGCCTTTCCCAAGCCTCCCCCATTGCCTCCATTGCCCCCCATTTATCACTCCCCAGGCCATTACTTCCCCATTGCCCTGCGATTTGCGGCTTGAGCTGCCCCCCAAGCTTGTAAAGGCCAAGGGCCCCCCCCCCTCAAGGAAGGCCCCAACCTCTCTCCACGACCCCGCAGTAATTAACATGGTGCCAAAATCGTCATCCCGACCCTCTTTCTTCTTTTCCTCCCATACCTTACTCTGCGTACCTTACTCTCTCCAACATTCCAACCTCTGAGAAGAGTAGGAGAAACACCAAGCTATCCAGACAAAGGAGACTCTCACGATATCTACGATACCACACCATGGCTCCATCAAAACGAAAAGACCCCAAAGCATTTCCTACGCGCCAACTGGCCGTTCTCGGTACGCCCATCCCCATCCTCTCTCTTCCAACTTTCCCCTCCGTCTCATTCTCGACAAACTCAGATAAGGAATCTATTCTTCTTATCAGCGCTGTCCAGTGCCATTCAATGGAACACACTGCGACTGTGGGCTAACGCGCGCGTCACAAACATATAGCGATATGTCGATTCTCCGAGCCCATCGCCTTCAATTCTATCTTGGCCTACACCTATAAGATGGTCAAGGATCTCGGCATGGAGGAAGACGCCGGTTTCTACGCAGGTCTTTTGATCTCCGCCTACGCCGTCGCCGAGGCCATCACCTCAATGGGATGGGGAACCCTGTCCGATCGCATTGGTCGCAAACCAGTCGTGCTATTTGGTCTCGTCGGTGTCGCCATCTCGAGTCTGATTTTTGGTTTCGCAAAGACGTATTGGGTTGCCCTACTCGCCCGTTTTGTTGGTGGCGCTCTCAACGGCAACGTTTCCGTCATGCAGACCATGGTGGCAGAAATGGTCAAAAATCCCGACCATGAGCGTGAGTCTCCCTCTTTCTCTCTCTCTATGCCGGTGTAATTATCGGCGCAAATTGCGGCGAACGACAGCGTACTGATTTTTTTTTTTGTTGGGGAAACAGCCAAGGCCTACGCCGTCCAACCCTTCGTATGGACACTGGGCGGCATTATTGGCTCTGCCATGGGCGGTTTCCTCGCCCAACCCGCCGTCTACTACCCTTCGGTCTTCTCTGAGGATGGCATTTTCGGCCGGAATCCCTACTTGCTTCCGAATCTCGTGTCCATGGCAGCAATCTCCCTGGCCGTCTTGCAGGGTGCTTTCTTTTTGGAGGAGACTCTCGAATTCGAGGAGGACGATGACCTCCACAACGGTCGCAATAGCGTCGCCGTGGACGATGATGACGCCGTCGATGAGACCACGCCCCTGCGCCGCGCACCCATCCGGACCTTCAACCCGCGACGTTCCATTTCCAC